TAGACAGATAGACAGATAGACAGATGAAAGAGAGAGAGAGGGGTAGATAGATAGATAGATTGATAGATAGATAGATAGGTAGGTAGGTAGGTAGGTAGATAGTCAGAGAAAGAGAGAGAAAGAATGAGAGAGATCAATCACCTTTCGCTCCATCAGTGGCTTCGCTCTGCCATTTCTGATTCACAACAACCAACCTCTCCTATAGGTTTCCTATTTTTGAAACTTCCGCCACCGCCTTGTGCGGTACTACTGGTACCAACCGCATTGCAACAAAACACAAGGAACATCATCAAGCAAACTGCAACAGACCCTTATCCGACAGCCACCGAGGCAAGTCACTTGGCTGAAGCGGTCCACGGAGTTGTCGTCAGAGTTACAGGACGTCTTTCTGTAGATGTCGGCCAAGCTTGGTGATGCTGCATTGGTGGTATAATCTTATTGGTATCTTATTATCTCATTGGCATCTTATTCCCCACCTGCCAGGTGAGGGTTGTTAGATTTTATCACAGTTGTTCTCCTCTTCTTCTTCCTCCTCCTCCTCCTTCTTCTCCTCCTCCTCCTTCTCCTTCTCCTCCTCGTCCTCCAGTTTCTCCTCCACCACCTCTGCATCCACTTCCATGTCCACTTCCGCGCGCAGTGGGCACTGCTGGACCTCAACCGCCGGCTTCCGATCTGGAGTGTGCACGGCTGGACCTCAACAGCAAGGTTCTGAGCGCAGTGGGCACCGCTGGACCTCAACCAGGGACCTTCCGAGCCCAGTGGGCACCGCTGGACCTCAACCAGGGACCTTCCGAGCCCAGTGGGCACCGCTGGACCTCAACCAGGGACCTTCCGAGCCCAGTGGGCACCGCTGGACCTCAACCTGGGACCTTCAGAGCTGTGGGCACCACAGGACCTCAACCTGGGATCTTCCGAGCTCAGTGGGCACTGCCGGACCTCAACGGCCAGATAGAATGCCAGAAGATATGCCAGATAGAACGCCAGATAGAATGTCAGATAGAATGCCGGAAGATATGCCAGATAAATTGCCAGAAGATATGCCAGATAGAATGCCAAAAGGTATGCCAGATAGAATGCCAGAAGATATGCCAGATAGAATGCCAGAAGGTATGCCAGATAGAATGTCAGATAGAATGCCAGCAGGTATGCCAGATAAAGTGCCAGAAGGTGTGCCAGATAAAGTGCCAGAATGTTTGCCAGATAGAATGCCAGAAGATTTGCCAGATAGAATGCCAGATAGGATGTCAGAAGATATGCCAGAAGTATGCCAGATAGAATGCCAGATAGAATGCCAGAAGATATGCCAGATAAATTGCCAGAAGATATGCCAGATAGAATGCCAGATCGAATGCCAGAAGATATGTCAGATAGAATGCCAGAAGATTTGCCAGTAACAAAACGTATAAATGTCATGGTGGGGATCACTCGAAGTAAAGTAATTGTTTCTTTTGGTTCCGTTCCGCATATGTGGAGACATGTGGAGACAAGTTTATCTAAGTTGTGCCGTTCATTCGTCGTCGTATGTCGTTGTGCGTTTGAGTTGGTGCTGGAGGAGTCTCAACGGGCCGTGGTGCCGCTGGGGGCGCGATTGAACGCACGGCTTCGGGCAGTGTGTGCTCCGGCATTGGTATTCTGTCGCTCCCAGCTTTTAAAATGGAAGCACTTTTGAAATTGAATGGCTTAATTAGCTGCTGATGCAAGGTCAAAATTAATATTGACACGAGAATGCAAGGGTTCTCTACACCAATTAGTGATTTTCAAACGTGTTTTGTGTTCTTTGCTCTTTTCCTCGCTTGTTCGAGGTGGAGAAGAGAGCCGGAGACATAGTGGGAGCAGAGATCATTTCGAAGCCATCTTGGCGCCTGCAAGTGAACGTGACCTGCAGCTTTGGCAGCTGCGCTGGATCATCTACAAACCCCATTGGAAAGTGGATGGCAACAAGGCAGTTGCTCTGCAATTCACTTTCCTCAAACGTTCTTGGCAGGCTGGGAGCGAGATCATGCTGCTGTGCTTTTGCCCCAATTTATATATCCCAAGGGTCCCAATGTGATTCTCCCCAGTGGAATTGCCACAGGCATCACACCTCCTGCCGGCACACGAGAAACTCTGCATCCGTTCCGGAGAGACACTGCAGTTGCAGGCTCCTCCCAGAGCGCTGGGCAGCGACGGCGTGGCGCACACCGGAGTCATCACTTTTGTGCAGGAAAAAGGTGATGTTGCCCTGCTGGTTGACGCAAGAAATTTCCGGATTTTCGGAATTTGTTTGGGGTAGGGTTTGAAGTGCTTCAAGTATCTTGAAATCACATCCTAAATTTTCATCAAAAAAACATGTTGTCAAAACCACTGCCTTTCTTCGTCAAGGGATGTATCGCAGCTTTTTCAGGACCACGCAGAGCTCGATCTGTCAGATGCAGAGCTGCAACGTGTGCATCGCCGGGCGCCGCGCCCTGCGCTTTGCAAGTACTTCTCGGCAGATGCAGCGACGTTGTCCAGGGAGATACAGACTTGCCTCACCGATGACGCTTGGGAAAAACACGGCAAAACCATTGAAAAACCCACATTGACAGAAGTCAAGATAGGACAGATTGGGTGACACCAGGCAATTAAATTGCTTGGATTAAGTCAGTTGATGTTAGTATATGTTAGTTGCATATTTTGGGAGGTTTCAGGTGCACCTTTATCCAGCCTTGATGAGGCCATCTTTGGGCCTGGATATGGTGGGTATCCTGGGTCACAGGTGCAACGTCTGCATCCCCAAGCCTTGCTGTTACCACATGGCGCCTTTTGCAATTCTGGTTATGTGGCAGCTCATGGTTTCCGACTGCTGGAAGGGATGGACCTTTCATTGGCCATCATCATAGGGAATAACCACTGCTGCTGGAACCGCCTTGCTCTTTGCGACCAGGATTGGGCCACGCCTTTTGGGCTGGTGCTCGCAGATCAGGTGGCTCTGAAGAGGATGCAGGAGATGTGTCCATCCTATGAAGTGAAAAGGCTGGTGCATGCGGCGGAGCATTCGATCGAGAATCAACTACCCTTCCTCCAACATTTGCACCCGAAGTGTCAGATTCTTCCGATCGGTGTGGGTGCAGTGAACCTAGAAGACGCCACGCAGATAGCCTCAAACGTAGCTAAGACCCTTGGATGAAACTTGTTCTCTCATGCCATGTTGTGGGGGAAGAAAGGTCTAAGCTTGAGAGTGGAGTACACATGAGTACACTATATCATCTATATCTGCGGCTGAAGTACTGTAAGTTTTTTTCTCCCTGCCCTGCTTTACACTACTTTGCCAGCTTGGTGTTGCTGGACATTCTTTATTTATACATTTTTATACGATCAGACGAAGGTGAGGGAATTATGAAAGGCATGCTAAACATATAGCTTGGGTAGATCCTAATACCTATAACAGTCAAAAAACAAATTTTCTTCATAAGTTGAGGAAGCTATTTTTTATCGCTCCCTCCGTGACACTTTTCGTGCTCTAGTTCGTGCTTTTTTTTCGCTCCCTCCGTGACACTTTTCGTGCTTTAGTTCGTGCTTTTTTTCGCTCCCTCCGTGACACTTTTCGTGCTCTAGTTCGTGCTTTTTTTTTTCGCTCCCTCCGTGACACTTTTCGTGCTCTAGTTCGTGCTTTTTTTTCGCTCCCTCCGTGACACTTTTCGTGCTTTAGTTCGTGCCTTTTTTTTGTTTCGCTCCCTCCGTGACACTTTTCGTGCTCTAGTTCGTGCTTTTTTTCCGCTCCCTCCGTGACACTTTTCGTGCTCTAGTTCGTGCTTTTTTTTGTTTCGCTCCCTCCGTGACACTTTTCGTGCTTTAGTTCGTGCCTTTTTTTTGTTTCGCTCCCTCCGTGACACTTTTCGTGCTTTAGTTCGTGCCTTTTTTTTCGCTCCCTCCGTGACACTTTTTGTGCTCTAGTTCGTGCTTTTTTTTCGCTCCCTCCGTGACACTTTTCGTGCTCTAGTTCGTGCTTTTTTTTCGCTCCCTCCGTGACACTTTTCGTGCTCTAGTTCGTGCTTTTTTTTTCGCTCCCTCCGTGACACTTTTCGTGCTCTAGTTCGTGCTTTTTTTTCGCTCCCTCCGTGACACTTTTCGTGCTCTAGTTCGTGCTTTTTTTTCGCTCCCTCCGTGACACTTTTCGTGCTCTAGTTGGTGTTTTTTTTTCGCTCCCTCCGTGCTCCTTTTCGTGCTCTGTTTCGTGCTTACTGTTACAGCAATTAGGATTCAGCCAACATATAGCTATTTCACTGGGTTGGTTTAAGGTAAAATTTACAGGAACCCCCCATATTTAATTATAAAAACAATGGTTTCCTGTAGATTTTCCCTTAAACCAATCCAATGACTATTGGATGCCATTGGGCCATGGTGTAGCAACTATCGGATCAACGCCCAAGGCTGGTGATGGACAGCGGTCCTGGCACCCTGCTGCTTGGGACGACGGACTTTTCGCACGTTCCATGGCGAAATGGCGAAATTGGAAGTTGCAGCGCTCTACTACATCTAATCCACATCTACCATGCCAACAAACTGTGAGATAGTCTGAGATAGTACATGAATTTCGATTATCATCCAGTATCGCTATCACAGCAGTTTGAGTCTTTGTTCAAGTCATGGTTGTATGTTGTTATGGAGCTTACATGAAAATGGCAGATCTGTGATGATCTGTGATCAATATCCGACATGCCCAGATCCATCCAGATCCATCAGATCATTGGTCGATGGTCCGGAAGCCAGGAGGGTCCAAGTTATGGCGGTCCCACTTTGCCAATGGCCGAGATCACAGAACTCACTCGACAGAAAGACAGGCCATGGCCGGACGACATTTGAAATAGGAAACGATGTGGATTTCTGATCAATGGATTGTAGCCTGCATGAGTGCACAAGAAGAATTCACATAATTCACAACCACCTTAAGATACAAAACAACAATTGCGATCACACGTCTCTTGGATCCGTTGAAGTGTGTGCTGCGAGGGCACTGCTGCAAGCTGTGAGAGACATGGATGCGGAGAAACTGTTGGAGATGGCCGCCGACAAGGTGAAATCGCGACGATTTTCACCAATGGGAAAGGTAAAAATGGTAAAATCAGAGAAGATTTGGAACAGCTTCCATCAATTTCCATCATCTTTCATGATCTTCCCATGATTTTCCTTACTAAGCCCTACTAGCTGACTAGCTGATTAGGATATGTCTTTAGATGACTTAGACATGTGTGGTGATCTTGTGGTGTACAGCAATTTGTGGAAAGTGTGTGCATCAACACAGCACACGTATAGTTCCTTTTTTGGATCTTCGTGATACACTGGCCACGCTGGCCGGCTTGGTAGGCACAGCGCTGCAGTATGTGTGGTGCTGGTGCTGCTTCCGTGCTTCTGCTGGCATGTCGTGCTCTCCAGCTTCGGTGCCGGCAGCTGCGCTATTTGGTCAACACTGAGGCTTGCACGACCAATAGGGGATGGGGTCAATATCAGTTGCTGTTCATGTCCATGTGTGTCCATGTCATGATATTCTGTACATATTCCATGGATTTCTATTTTCCATGGTATCTATTTCAGTTCCCATGGTCTCACAAGATGCTGCATTTTGTGGCCTGGGCACTGAGGTGACCCCATGCGACAGCACCACTGGCTTTGCGGCCTTTGCATTCGAACGTGTGCCTTGAGAAGCGTCGAACTTCGCACTTCCCTCGTGCGGTGAAGCGACTTGTCGTCCCGGGCATCGCGTGGATTCGCATGGTGAAGTCATGTCGTGAAGCTGTTCTGAGCTGTTCTACAGGTTGCAGGAGGAACGTGGAGGACCCTTGGCACGGATGGCCATGTTGCCCTGAAGCCAACGGATTTGGACAGCCCTTGGGGAACTGCCTGGAACCCAAGGCGCTTGACTGTCCTTGACTTGCAAAGAAGGCAGCCCGAAGAGAGGGAAAGAAGGCTAGAATTGAAGAGCAGATAGCCGAGCAGATGCGCCAAGATCAGACAAAAGAGAAGACACCGGATCCATCCAAGGAAGACATAAAGAAGGGCAAAGCGGAGCAAAAGGCCGCGGAGGAGATTGCAGAAGCAGATGAGCAAGGAAGGCAGAAGAGAGAGAAAGATGAAAGAAGGCTAGAATTGGAGAGCATGTGCAAAAAGGTGGCTGGCGTACTAACGGATGAAATCTTGAGAAAAGGCGTTTCCAGTTCATGTTCTGTTTTTGCTTCATGCAGGAGCAGACCTCGTGGCTTTTCTTGGATGCTCACAGTCAAATGCCTGTCTGTCAATGCTGCATGTCTAATGATGTGAGGCATTTGGGTTCGAACTAAAAGCTACGAAAAGATGCAAGCGGAATCATTCACTCACATGTCTGTTTTTCAAAAATTATTCTCTGTCGAATACACGTACTATCACTAAAGGGTTGTTGTCTCTTGCGCAGAACAGTTTACAGACTTCATTTCTGCGCTCGTTTTCTCATCCTGCAAGGGTTGCGGCCATGGATGATGGAGAGGAGGTTGAGGGTGATGAGGACTGGCGCTATGGACCTTTAGGCCGTGCTGGCGTTCTGAAAGACGCAGAAACAGCAGCCCCTAGCACTGCACCCCCAGTTCGGGCTGCTTGACATACACTAGCTCCATGTGCTTCTTTGGGCCTCATTCTGATTCTGAACACCTTGAATTTGAAAAGGGAAAAACATATTTATTTTGAAGAATGGATATGTGACATATGTGAGAGAACATTATATGGACATGCTATTGCAAGACATTGCAAGTTTTCCCGTGTTTTTTTTTTGGGTTGCCCTGCTTGAGCTGGCCCAGGATGCCCAGGTGCCACCTGCCGAAGCTCCGGCGCCAAAACCGAGCGCATCGCTGCAGCGCAGCGGGGAGGTGAGGCCGCGCACCATCTGGGCCTACTGGGCACAGGGCCATCAGCAGATGCCCCAGTTCTTCCAGATGTGTGTGGCCACCTGGCAACGGGTGAACCCACATTGGGATGCCCCTTGGATGGATTGAGGAGAAATGAGGAGATGTAGTTGAGATGTAGTTGAGATGTAGTTGAGATATGTTGAGATGTGTTGAGATCTGAAAAACGAGATGTTCTCCAAATTGGGGATAGACCCGCCAACAAATGGGGGATGATCCAGGATTTGTGGATTTGTGGATCAATTTTCCTGGGTAAACTTATTTAAACATCGCTAGTTTGCCTCAGGGAAGGGGATTCAACCACCGATGTTAGACATCGCCTGGGCCAGCTGGTCCGATGGCCAGGTCCGGATCCTTCAGAAGTCCACGGTCTTGGAATATCTCGACGAGGAGGAGCTGCCCAACCGCTTCATGGAGATGACCTCGCACCAAACGGCTTCGGATGCTGTGAGACTGGGCGTTCTGAGCCGCTATGGCGGGGCAGCTGGGCTGGTTTAGGCTGGCTTAGGCTGGCTTAGGCTGGTTTAATGGTTGACGAAGGGGAGGTTTCCAAGAATCAAATATGCATCAGTTCGCAAGTGTATTACAGTGTAAGATGCAGAACAATAGCAGGTGAATTTTAGAATCTTTTGTTCAATTTTTGTTCAATTTTTTGGGTGTTGTATAGCATCATATAGCATCTTGCAACGCTGTTGTTCGCCCGAGGTGTGGCTTGACGTGAACATCCTGGTCTGTGGAAGTTTGGACCAGCTCTGTTGGAATGCCATCACTTGGGGCCAGAAACCGGCCATGGTCTTCTTCCACCCTTCCTACGGGACGGAGGCGCTGGGAGGCCAAGACTTCGTGGAGAGTTGGTGTTTGGCCACCAAGCCGCAGAACCCTTTCTTCATCCGCTGGAGGGACACCTTCAAGGAGCGCCCCCAAAAAGGCCCCTGACACTGTGCTTTGTAGAGGGGAAGTTTGACAACAAGGCGAACAATGTAAGATAGAACTTGTGACTCATGACTCATGACACGTATGCGGAACTTATGCAGCTTATTTGGCTTATGCACTTTTTACATCTTTTTACATAGATTGGCATAGATACAAACTGTAGACAATGGAAAGATAGCCATGAAATTCCATGAATGTTGGGAGAGCAAGAGCAATCCGGGCCTCCGAGCAGCACACTTTTCGCCATGAAAGTCAAGTGCAGGAGCTGTTTCAGGACCGATTGAACATTGAGGGTTTGCTGAAACACAGGCTCTACAAGGCGAGCTTCGAAAAACTCACTGCATGCATTTTTGAAAGAAAAATCTGCGGATTGGAACTGTGGAAAACTCTCTTAAACTGCAGTTTATGTGGAAAACATCCAACATACGCATAAACCACAACATAACAACTTTCAGTTGACCAGTTGACCACTGACATTTTAGAAACAGATGAAAAAGATTGAAAAAGGGAAACTGTGCCAAAGAAAGCGTCGAACATTTTTCGAGCGGGGGCAGGGCCTTGACCTCAGTGGATTCGAAAAACTCAACGACGACTTCAGAGGTTCAGGCCACAGGGGGCAAAGGCATGGACATCATGTGGAACATGCTGACTTCGCAACGGGTCATCACCCCTGGTGATGGACCTCTATCGTAATTCCACAGGAGGGGCCATGTCCATGTCCATAGCCATTTTAGGTAACGTTCGCACACCCAAATATACTTATAATTACCCACTTTGTTGGTCAATATCCCTATGTTGGTCACTTCCACTTGTTCATGATGTTCATGTCCCCACATTTGTTGCTGCAGTAGATCCACTCTTTGTGGGCCACCTCATGATTCCCAATTCACATAGCATCATGGAGCTTAAACACAATCATTGAGAATCCACTTCTTTTATTATGGCTTCAGACATGTTCATCTTTTCTTGTTGTTTTTTCTTTTTTCAATCAATGATTATCCCAGATTTATCCCATGAATTTTCCCAATATCCTGGTTTTATCTATTGATTCCCTATGAAAAACCCAGGTTTTTCAACCAAAAAAACGCCCAGGGATGGAATTCCGTGAGTACCTGGCCATCCACGCCATGTGCCACCGACTGCTGGAGACGGAGCCAGAGGCACGGCGTCTATGGCGTGACGAGTTCATCAAGATCAACGCCGCGGACACGGCAGCTGGGTGAAAAAAACCTGGGCTTTTCCAACGTGTTTTCCCATGTGTTTTCCCATGTGTTTCCGAAAAACGGAGGATTTTATGGAGAAAAAGCAAACTGATGATGATATATGATAATATAATATAAGTGATATCAGGACAGTGGAAATCCATTTTTTTGGCTGCAACAGAGCAGTTTCGAGGCATTTCGATTGCAAATGGTGGCGCAGGCCAGTGACATGCACATGGCGCAGGTGAGGATCTCAAGGAGGGAAAGCACGGGAAATGTCTTGAACCGAACCTTCATGTGGACCCATATGGGCCCGTATAGTACTCATGTAGTAATTTAATGTAATTTATATTTGTGTATATATATATATATGATATTGCACATATAATACATATATAATATATAAATAATGTATTATATTATTATCATTCAAAATTCAAAATTCAAAATATCACTGTATGATTTGAGAACAAAGCCAGACATGAAATAGAATGAGGCCATAGCAATCATAGCATGCCATAACTCATAATGAGGCCATAGGAGCGCACGGAAAATTTCATCGTTTCCGGTATTTCAACCACCTCAAATTGAGTGTTGATAGCTGTTGATAGCTGTTGATAGCTGTTGATACCCAGGTCCTTTTGCTGGAAGATTCCAGAGCCGAAAAGCTCATCGAGGGCGTGCCGAAACTTGACCTCAGTGACAACTCTGTGATAACTCTGTGCTTTCTTGATTTTTCCGGATGTTTTTTGATTTTTCTTGATGTTTCTTGTTGTTTCTTGTTGTTTCTGGATGTTTCTTGTTGTTTCTGGATGTTTCTTGTTGTTTCTTGTTGTTTCTTGTTGTTTCTGGATGTTTCTTGTTGTTTCTTGTTGTTTCTGGATGTTTCTTGTTGTTTCTTGTTGTTTCTGGATGTTTCTTGTTGTTTCTTGTTGTTTCTTGATGTTTCTTGTTGTTTCTTGTTGTTTCTGGATGTTTCTTGTTGTTTCTTGTTGTTTCTGGATGTTTCTTGTTGTTTCTTGTTGTTTCTGGATGTTTCTTGTTGTTTCTTGTTGTTTCTGGATGTTTCTTGTTGTTTCTTGTTGTTTCTGGATGTTTCTTGTTGTTTCTTGTTGTTTCTGGATGTTTCTTGTTGTTTCTTGTTGTTTCTTGATGTTTCTTGTTGTTTCTTGTTGTTTCTGGATGTTTCTTGTTGTTTCTTGTTGTTTCTGGATGTTTCTTGTTGTTTCTTGTTGTTTCTGGATGTTTCTTGTTGTTTCTTGTTGTTTCTGGATGTTTCTTGTTGTTTCTCGATGTTTCTTGTTGTTTCTTGTTGTTTCTGGTTGTTTCTTGTTGTTTCTTGACGTTTCTGGATGTTTCTTGATGTTTCTTGACGTTTCTGGATGTTTCTTGATGTTTCTTGATGTTTCTTGTTTAGTCTCGGCAGATTGTTCACGCTACTTCACACTTCATGCTGCGATTGCCAGGTTTTATCAGTATTTCTTTCCCTTGCGGCATCAAAGCCGAGGATATCCATTGGATATCCAAGGATGTTTTTTTTGATTTCCCCTGAAAGCGGCGCAATTCTTTCCGTTCTTTCTGTGTTCGGTTCGCAACGGGGTCGCCAGCTTCCCTGGCACCGAGATGCATCGAGGCTCATCAAGTTTCGAACGCCGGACTACGGACCGCTGGTGCAGCTGTCGCCTTCACAATTGAAGGATCGGCGCCACTTGTTGGGCCGCTTATTGGATCCACCTGCACAGGCACTGGCAGACTGGGTTTGTTTATATGATGGTTTGATATGGTTTATGCGTGCAGAATTCACAGTGCAGCGAGAATAGCGAGATTCAGATGGTGGCTTCATATGGCTTCATGTGGCTTCAGATGGTGGTCATGTTGAAGCTGTTTGATCTGGGAAAGGCTTTTCGTGGCGCAGCTGGTGTCGGGTCCGCACGGGCGACGGTTGGCATGAGAAGCTTGGCAGATTGAATCAAACTAAAGATAAGATAAAGCTCTGCATGCCAAAAGAAGCACCAAGATATTGAAAATAGTTCTAAAATTGACAGGGATTCGGGATTCTGCAACATGTTGTGCAAAAGGTTATACAACATTCAAATCTGCTAAGTAAAAGAGATGGCTTCCAATTTCCTGTTAGATTTCAGGTTCCATTGCACGAGCAGGTGGCCGGCGATACATGGCCAGAAGCCCAGTTCTGCTCGGCCAGATGCCTTCGACGAGAGCAGTGTTTTGGTCGTTGCAGTTTCCCTGAGGCTGCTGCCAGTCTGGCCGTGCTTTGCAGGTTGGATCGTAGCTGTCGTAGCTGTCGTAGCTCCTGCACTCCTGCTCTGGTGAATGATGAAAATTGAAAACATCGCATCGCATCGCACGGTAGGGGGCTCGTCCCGGCGCCTAGTGGGCTCCCTGCGCGGGCAGGCAGGGAGTCTGAATGGCAGCTTTGCAAAATGCCAGGGGTCAAGTGGTAAGTCAACTTGCAGATCAACTTACATCCATTTGCAGCCAGACAGTTGTTACCATCATTTCGCAATGAGTTGCATGATTCCCTATATGATTCTGAGTCAATCTTTGACTCTGACTTTAAGTAAGTGCATTTAAAACATATGATTCTGTGTGATTCTGTGATGCCGGCAGCCACAGAGCTCCATTCCCCCTGTGAGAATCTTGATTGACGGGCCATGGCGCCCCGCGGCCGACCGGCCAAGCGAGTGCATCACATTACAGGCAAACAGCAGGGGATGGCAGTGGGGATCAGTGGGCTGTTTGGAAATCTGCCCAGATCTCACGAGGCTGGAAGAACTCCGAACATCATGGAAGGCTCCAAGACATCCCAGCCACTTCACGGACATGAGAGATTTGAAGGATACCCAGTGCCGGGACGACGGGAGAACCGGGAGAAGCAACATTCGAGGCCACAAAAATTGGAAAACCTGACAGACCTTCAACTCCACATTCCAAATTCATCCTTCCTGGGATATTTTGGAAAGATTCAGGACCAGCTTCGAGGAATTGCTTTGACCCGGCGACCTTTGATTTCACCTTCCAGGTTCTTAGACCAGCCCGCAGAGAGTGATCCACCAGCCTTTCGATGGCAGCTGAGACCGAAAGCTGCTCCAGCTAAAGCAGCTAAAGCTGCCTCAGTTCCGACACTTTCCACAGTTCCGGAGCCATCTGAGAGAGGCATCCCAGAGGTGCATCCAGCGCATCCAGCGCATCCAGCGCATCCAGCGCCAGCGCCATCCGAGAAGTTGGCCATTGAACTGGCTCCGACATGTTCATGGATGCGGCCAGGCGACGTCTTTGCCCAAGAAACCTTTCACCGAGGATTCGGAAGGTTTGAGCATTTTGAGCCTCATCATTACCATCCTTATCCACGTGACCATGACCGCTGGCACTCCAGATGAGGTGCTGAATGGTGCTGAATGGTGCTGAATGGTGCTGAATCAGACTTCTGTTGGATGAACGCTTTGGGACAGAGATGGGCAGAGAAGTTCAGAGCTTTGCTGGTGACTGTGCGCTGGCTACCGACCGTCGCATTTGACATCAGTGGTATTTGTGATATGTTGTGATTTGGTATCAGTCAGTTGAAATGTCTTGAATGATCTCCAACTCAATGTCAATTCCAATATCTGATTCATTGCAATGGCAGTCCCGACCCCTGACCCTTTGGGGCAAGGAATGTTCCATGGCTTTGCTCTGCATTGGGGAAGAGTGCAGCTGCGCCAAAAGACAAGACTCCATGCACAGGAGGAAAATAGCATTTGCAGATATTTGCAGAGCAAGCCTGGCATCCCATGGTGGGTACATGCAATTTTCATCAATCCATGTCCATATCAATCCATTTCCATATATATATATATACTTGTATGGGGAGTTACAGATGTTCGTGCATCTTGCATGCCGAAGATTGTCGAACATGATGCAGTTGTTGGCATCCAATGGATGCATTTGGATTCCCATTGGATGACCATGATGGCAATGTCGCAATGACGCAATGCGTTGATGCGCAGGCGTTTGGAGCCACTCGCCATATTGGCCCAACATTCCGCTGCGGGGCCCTGCCAGGCTCGCTATTTTGCGGATCTTTTATGTTTTTTTTTGAGATTACAGAGGGAAAGTCGTGAGGTGATGTGAGGTGATGTGAGGTGAGTAAAAAGATCGAGTTGCCTGCATAGCTTGTTGTATATATATAATATCTCTCTCTCGCTCTCTGTGTCAGTTGTTTCCTTATTTCACACGTGCATGTTACATGCAAACCTACATACTCCAGGTGATTCAGATGCTTGCGTTCAAACATCTTGGACAATTTGCCTAGGCCAGCCTTGCGGCCCTGGAAGTGAGGATGCCCGGCAGTGGTTCTGACATGGCTGGCTCCAACTCCATGAGATGCTGGCAGCCGGCAAAGTACAGCGTAAGCGTAGAATCGGTGTAGAGGAGCGCGCTGCAGCTTCGCACTGCAAAGTGTGTGCTGATGTGTGCTGTATCTTGCGGTCTTTAGCAAAAATGTCTGCCTTTGGCGTTTGATCATGGTTGGACATTGGGACCGTGTCATAATATGTCATAATTATGTGTCTATATATATATATATATATATATGTATATATATATACATTGCTGTGCCCAATTGTCGTTGCAACAGCCAGGCGGCCAGCTAATGTGATCCAAGGTGACTAATTACTGAAGATGTTTGTTTTCGCAAAGCTTCTGTCCGAATAAGTAGATGTAGAAAGGAAACCGATTGTTCGGCGTGGACCCGGTCGTCGTGGTAGAACTAGCTGCTGCTGATGGCGAGGATGATGGATCAACATGAATAAACATGGATTAAAAATGGCTCTGCGAGAACATCCCATCAATTCCCATATCAAGTTTTTTCCACTTTCGTTGCCTTTGGCCGAAGCGATGCCTTTGTGACGACTGGTTGGTTGAAGGCTTGGGTGCAGAGTGCCTCCAGAAGGCAGGCGCAGGAAGTGGCCGCACAGGCGCGTTGCAGTTGAACGATGTTTCATTTTTTTCTCTCTCCTCTCCTGAAGCAAGTAAAACAACGGAAGAAACAGGTAGATGAGATGATATTGCAATTCCCCATGGTTTCCCCAGGGTTTCCCCATGGTTTCTCCATATCTTCGATGGGCACCAGGCGGCTCCAGGTTCTTGAAGTCTTAGGTGCATCCCGAACAGAAATTCAATGAGAAGGACCATGGTGGACCATGGTCGATATATATATATATATTATATATTTTATATATATATATGTGTGTGTGTGTGTGTCCATGTGGTGTTTAATTGTGAGATATTACGAGTCTTTATGAGTTGACAGGGCCTTTTTGTCAGGGATGAAAACAACATCATACACCATGATACAAGAAGTCAAAGAACTTGCAGGCATTGGTGATGCGGACACACGCGTAGTGCAGGAGTGAGGAGGCTTTTCTGCTGCCTTTGTGTGTCGGAGTGCGCAGCAGCACCAGACAGGATATCACAATCCTTCACCAATCTTTCCCATTCTCAGGGCTCAGTGAATAAGATGCCTGGCCTGTTACCAAGAATGTTTTTGTGTCATTTATTGTCCGAAATTGTATAATTTATCCAAAGCATTCAATTTCAAACTATTTTTCCCCAAACCGGAAGTTCACTGACTTGAAAGCATGTGGACTTTTGATATGACATACATGGCCATTCCCAGCTCCTGATGCTTTTCTTGTGCACCAGTTTGGCTCAATGAGAAAGACAATGCCTGAGCTGAAGAAAACAAAGACAACAGCAACGCAGTGCAGACCCTTGCCTTTGGTTGATTTGGTTGCAAAGCCCAGCATAGCATTGAGAAAGTTCTGAATGGATGTCACTGATACGTAGTCCACATTTACATGCTACAAGAGTGCACTCAACATACATGGCATACTGTGGCGCACTGCATAATGTTTTTCTGTGTTCAAGGACTCTGCAGACAACACAGAGTCATTTTCAACACATTTCGACGATGGTCCTCTCAGAGCCACTGCGGCGATGCGCCTTGGCAGCCCTGGCATACGGTCGAATCAAACTCTTGGTGGTTCCATCAGCGGACTCCATGGACCATTCTTAGACGAACTGATCTGAAATGATCTGAAGTTGAGAGAAAAACTATGAAAAGCTTCGCAGATCGTATACCTGGTATAACTCCTGGTATAACTCCTGGTATAACTCCTGGTATAACTCCTGGTAATCCCATGGGAAAAGCCATCGGAAAAGCCATCGGATGCTGTAATCTTAGGCCTGGGCGAACTGACCGAGTTGTGCCAGGGTCTGGAGGACGAAATCAACGCCATGCGGAAGGATTTGAAATTGGCGCATCTTGGAGTTTTCATCGGGAGATCCATGGGGTATTTTGCAGTCCAAAAACTTGGGTGTCAGATATTGAGAATGTTGAGATGGTCCATATCTATCTATCTATCTATCTATCTATCTATCTATCTATCTATCTATCTATCTATCTATCTATCTATCTATCTATCTATCTATCTATCTATTATCTATCTATCTATCTATCTATCTATCTATCTATCTATCTATCTATCTATCTATCTATCTATCTATCTATCTATCTATCTATCTATCTATCTATCTATCTATCTATCTATCTATCTATCTATCTATCTATCTATCTATCTTCATGGCTTCATTATCTCCTACCCCCAAAGTTCGTACCCCCAGATCAAAATGGAAAACTGATCCTGTAATGACCCAATGTTTTCCAACCTTGTCAAAACTGAGAAGGTTTACTCTGGGAAAGGGATGTTTGTGTAATAAGGCTTATTAATAAAGGTTCCATGAATGAGCCTGTGGGCGCCAGCAAGACTTCAAATGGATCAAACCCAAATGATATGGGGTTCTTCATCACCTGCAAAAGGCATTGCTCTTGGGAAGCCTTAATAAACATCCAGGGGTTGATGTTGGGAAATTCCACCAAACGCGGGCTTGCTAAAGCCCAAAAATACAAAAACTGATAGGCATTGGATAGGGATTGGAGGCTTAATACCCTTTACTGTACTACAGCAGAGCAATTGTTTTGAACATAGTGCCAAACGGATTGGTTCTTAATAAGGCTTAATAAGGCTTAATACCCCTTACTCCAAAGTGCACTTACCACAGGTTCTCTTTACTGAATCTGCACATCTTTTCCCATGGGCATTCACAAAGCTTAAAAACTACTCACGTTAAGCATTGCATTTGAAACCCTTTACAACAAAAGGCAGCCTTCAGTCGCTCGTTGCACAACTTTCCATCGGTGGTTGCAACACATACACGACGACAACTCTCTTAAGAGATTTCCATCTCCACAAAAAAGCGCGCAAAAGAAATAATCCTTATGTAGGCCTTGCCAAGGGGAAAATAAGGACCAATCCGTTTTGCACTTTTTTCAAAAAACCTGTCCTCTTTTAGCAAGGGTTATTAAGCCTTACCAATGCTTATCCAAGCTTTCCAAACATTAATAGTGCTTATTTAGTCAAACATGGTCAACACATATTTGCGCACAAAACCCATGGTTTTCCATTTTGATCTGGGGGTACGAACTTTGGGGGTAGGCAATAATGAAGCCATGATATCTATCTATCTATCTATCTATCTATCTATCTATAATGTAATATGATATGACCACAGATGATATGATATTATATATAATATCGGCTTTTCATGATTTATTGAGTTGGTGAATTTCATCGATTGGGGCATATTGGTGTTGACGTGGCACCTCAAGGCCGTGAAGCCATCAGATCCCCGCCTCATGGCTTAGGCAAAAGCAAACGGCCTTCGGCAGCAGTGACTGGGCTGATCTGGGCAGATCGCAGATCGCAACTTGGAGATTTGGAGAATGCCGAGGTGATAACTTGTTTGGCGTGGTTCCACATGTGCCTCCGGAGGGCTCCCTTCCAGTTCTTCCAGAGGTGCAGAGTTACTGTTGAAACTTTTTGAGCGTGTTTCCAGATGAAAACCGTGCCTTGTTTCGGCAGGTTTCTCTTGACCCACTAGAGCCGAGCAGCCCTAGCCCTGGCAATCCAGAAAAACCGAGTTCGCCAGTCACTTGGTTGGATTCAGTCCACAATATGATACAATATGATACACAAAAATACACAAAACACCCCTCCCGGGCCTCCGTGCATTTGCATTCATTTTATATATTTTGATATATGCATCAATGTGTAGGCCGGCACAACATCACTGAAGCATACTGAAGCGCCTTAGTTGGAGCGAAACGTGTTCGACTTTTGCGCATTCATTAGCTTGCCAGGCTGCCAAGATGGTGGTCCGGAACCACTCGGCCTTTGAGAAAATGCTGCATAGCCAGACCAAGGCGCCTCTTGTTTCAGCATGTTTCAGCATATTTCAATATGGGTATGGATCAATACCTATTAATACAATTTTTAGTGGGATGAACATCCATTTACCAGCTATTTTGATGTTCACATATGTTCACCAGGGGTACCAGGTTTTGACACACTGCCATATTGAGCTCTTGGTTTCAGGAGGTTTCCAGTGCCCTTTCCAGAATCAAAAAAGCTGACCCAGGGCACTGGAGGCACTGGAGGCATCATTGAGGCGGGATGCCATGGGATGCCATGGGATGCCATGAGGGCAAGATCAACAATGGTTAACGATATAGAAAAGATATGAAAAGATATGAAAAGATATGAATCTGAGAATCATATTGATATTTAAAGATTATGAAAGTCCAATCGTGGTTTCAATAATTAGGTTTCATTTGCGTTCATAGATCAGAAATCATGAGTGCAAGACCATGCAAGACCTAAACACACTTTTTTAATCTTTTTTACATGGTCAAGTCATGGTCGACTGAACTGTACTGAACTGTACTGAACCTCCTAGTTTCGGACCCGCCCAGAATTCAGCTGGTATGCTTGGTGCTGCACGGCTCGGGCAATTGACGCTTTGCTAAACATATCCAGACATATTACCAGACATATTACCAGACATATTACCAGACATATCCAGACATATCCAGACTCCAGCTGATATCATCAAACAATATCAAACAATATCAAACACCCAGATATCCAGCTGGTGGATCCCAAGGAAAAAGGCGGACCCCAGGAACTCACCCGAAAATGCGCCACTGAGAAGTCGCTTGGATGCAGAACATGAAGGTTAAACGTGAAAGGTTAACGTGAAGCTATGTGAAGCTATGTGAAGCTTAAAGCATCTTGAAAGATCTTGAAAGTGCGAAAAAATGGACTGACAGCATGGATTTTCATGCTGATTTTTAGATGGATTCTGTACACTCTGTGACACCAGAGTGCATGTTTTGAAGATTTTGGGGATGATTTTGGGATGTTTGAGGTGTGTTTGGCTCTAGTTTTGTTTGGCTTTGTTCTGTAAGGGCCAGATTCTGATGCGAGGCATCCGGGAAGTGATGGGCGTCATTCACGACGTGAATTGGTTCAATCGGAACCCGGAGGACACATGGATGGCTACCTTTTCCAAGAGTGGCCTGGCTGTTCCGCAGATGTTGAACCATGTTCAGCACATGTTCAGCAGTCAGCACCTGTTGAACCTTGGTTTCTGCCAAGACCTTCAACGTCTTTCAACATCTTTCAACAGTAAGCTGGCTTGTACAATCCCTACAACATCCTACAACCTGCATAAGCTCGCCGCAGTTTTTGAGGCACGTTCTTCAAATTCCTATGCACCATTGCCATCGTTTGCAATGCGATCTACCTGGGTATTGCTGCAGATAAGTCAGTGAAAAGTGGCATCTCGGTCCAACAAAGCGCGACTGTGCTGGCTTCTGTCAATCCGCAATTTGGCGCACCCAAAGGTGATAAGATGTGATAAGATGTGATAAGAATGGTGGATACCTTGAATAGAATATATTCAACATTATTCAACTATCGGATCTATCGGTTCGTGATGGTTTGTGGAAATTCTATATCCCCGGTCATTTCCCTCAAACCACCTGCAAACCATAGATAAACATGGACACATATGGACACATATGGACACATGTTGGACCTCTCAGGCTATCAGAAGCTTCTTGGCCGGGAGCCTGCAGAACAGGACCGTATAGCAGAGTACGTTTTTATCGCGACTCGGCTCGAAACTTCAGACATCTTGGGACATCTTGGGACATCTTGGAGCTTCAAGTTGTTGGATCCCACTACATGACCAGCCTATGACCAGCATATGACCAGCCCATTTCACTCCTCAACATTTTGCTGGGCATGTGCCCAGCCATGGCAAATTATGGGAATCCGTGACATTCCGTGGCTGAGGCGTGGTTCACAGTCGAACTGTTAGTGAACATGCTGGGACAAGGCTGGGACTTCCTCTTCGGTCCCAACAAAACTTGGAACATCTTCGACGTTCTTCTCATTGCCAATGCGCAGCTGGGCTGCAATGGGCTGCAGCATGCATCTTTAAAGCGCTGAGAAGTGCTGCAGGTTCAATATTCTTCAAGTCAACCTCGACTTGCAACCCATGTGCCCAGGGTTTTGGAGTTGTCAGTGGACGTCGCACAAAATTTGAAACTTGGTTTGAACAGTGTAACATGTTTGTACGGAATGGTCCAGCAGGAGCATTGCAAAATATCACATCATAGGCAGCGGTGCTTGAGATATTCAGAAATATTGAGAGATATTGGGAGACTTTGCAGATGTCAAGATATGCTCAGATATGCCAAGATATGCTATAAGCTTCTTTGTTGAGGTCCTTCCTTCGCGTCTTCCGTGTGTTCCGCTTGGTTCGGGTAGTGCGCTTGGTGCGGACTTTGCCAAGCCTGCGCAGTTTGCGGACCATGCTATTTTCGATAATTTCGTTGCTTGGCCCCACCAGAACGGCTGAAGAGAGTGGGCATCAAGAGGGATTTCCTGGCAATGTGGGGAAGATGTGTTTTTTTTTTTTTTTATGAATGCTTGTGGGTGGGTGGAGTGTGAGTTATAATATCCATTATAGACTTATAGATATCATTCTAGTCCATTATACTTATATTCTATTATAGTCACTATCATTATCATCATAGTCTATCGTCACTATAGTCCACATTATAGTCCACGATGTCCACGTTGTGCACCATTGAGGTCACTATCTGCTCTCTTCTGGGCTTTGGTCATGCTGTTGCTGACGATGTTCATGTCACTGGGCCAGGGATGAAGGGGCAGACTCTGAGCTCTGCGAGAGACATGCAGCATCATTGCATCATGCTATTGCTGTGTCACACAATGTGTTGCCTGACCCTCTCACCATCTCTCACCCAGATGTAGATGATGATAGATGTAGTGGGTCAGGAGCTTTCATGCACGTCGACTTGTTGAAAATTGCTTGCTTTCAGCTTTCTGTGACTTCATGTTCGTTACACATCATTACGCACTGAGGTTTAGCATAATTTTCAGCAATGGCGTGGCATATTACTTTGAGTTTGTAGATCTCAACGTGCCCGCCCAGGCTCTCCGCCCTTGTCATAGGATTTGGGATTTGGTCATAGTTTTGATGTGAAGTTCCGCACTGGAGCCATAGCTGAGCTCCTTTCATCTCCTTTCCCAGGTGCAGACTGCTGAGCTGGTCTACGCCTCCTGATTACAATGATATTTCAAGTGATTTTCAATGTGTTTAATTCATTTTAATTCAATCATTCAGCCATCTTCACTTGCGCTCACTTTCTGAAAGAATGGTGAAACTTTGAAGTTGTTTTCCATGGGTTTTTCTGGAACCTATGCTCCCTTAGCCAGCTGCTTCCCACATCGCCCACATCATATTTGAGCTCTTGTTGATCAGATGCTCCGTTTTATGGATCCGAATGGTCCGAGGAGTCATTTGGAGGAATCTATGAAACCCTGGTTCCTTATCTGAAGGTAGCTTCTATTACATTTCTATTAACGCAAGACTTTCTGTGAGATGCATTTTTCTTGTTTTTTTTCCACAAGATGTCGCAATGTGGCACGTTTGAGGTGACCCTTTTCTCGGCCATCTCTGGTGGAAATGATTGGATGAACTACGGTTCAGTACTGCGTCTGGGGCACCGTGGCAGCATCTCATGCCGGAATCGCATCCTGTCGGAATCGGATCACCGGATCACCAAAAAAACACCACGAAGTCGGCCGAAGCGCCGATGCTGAGCCAAGGCCTGGAGAGGTGTACTTCGTGATTTTTGTCCCTTGATTTCCATTTAAAAAACTGCTGAACTTCGTGATATCCCTTGATGTTTAGCGGAATTTTAAGCCCAGGTGGTGAAACACTTCATAAACACTTCATTTTGTTGGATCATGTTGTATCTTAGTGCGATGTGCTCTAGGACTCTAGGACTCTTGTTGCAGTATGTTGCAGTCTTTCTTTCCATCTAGTCAAATTAGTAACTTGAAAGATCTTGAAAGTTGAGTGAAGGTGTCACCGTGATACAACCTCGGGCCCAGGTTTTTTACATCTTCTTCTGCTTGATTGGCCTCTTGAACGTGGTAACAGGCATTCATGTTCCTACCAGTATGACAACTGATGTATCTCCAACCCATCTCAATCTATCTTCAACTGAACGGTTTCTTATGGTTTCTTCTTGAATGTGGTTACGTGATGTTGCGTGGACTTGACGTGGGTACAGGCATTTTCGTGGACTCCGCTGTATGTACCCGAACAGAAGACGAGGTGCAGAAGTATGGCATTGAGATAGACGATGATAGACCCAACCCAATACTGATTGCTATAATATGTTGCTATGTTATGTGTCCGTATTTTGTTCGTATAAATAATATATCTCCTACATTCTCTTACTATATAGATCTATGCTTTTGTTGCTATCATTTGCGTTCTCTGAAAATCTTGCTATTTTCGGACCCACCATCGCACAGCCAGGCAAGGAGAAAGCCTAAAAAATCTGAAAAACTATTGGCTGCTATTGGCTGGTCAATTTAGCAACTAGTCAACCTTTTCTGAACCAGATTCATACAGATTCCAAGGGATCAACAGCAACAAACAAACTCATAAACATCATAAACTGCTTGTGATTTCGTTGTGTTTGGTGCAGGTGGTGGAAAGCTATACCGAGGAGCAACAACGACTTTGCGGAGCCTTGTCTACAAAAGAAACATCCCTGACTCATGGAAAGTGAGTTTATGATAGTTTATGGAGGTTGCTGGGTGGTTGCTATGCTACCATATGCGTCGTATCATCTCTGATTCAATGCATATATTTGGGTGACGATTTCTATACAATTTCTCTGGGATTTTACACATTTTGACTGACAATCAACTATATCATTCTTCCAAACAGGTGATGTTTGCTATGGGATTTTTAGCTTTCACCGCAGATGATGAACACTTCACCCCACTGCGAGGGGAAATGAAGCGGATCTTCAAAGCTGCTGACATGGACCGGTGTGGGGACCCAGGGGCGCTATCCCCAAAAATCATCAAAGATCTTCAAAGCATATCAAAGCATGCAAGATTCATGGGTGGTGACACTTTTAGATTTTTAGACATGTTTTATGACATAAATTGTATGACGTTTCTTGTGCTTTTGTTTTGATAGTCTTGAAGCAGTGCCGAAACATGATCGTCCTGTGGCTTCGTTGTTCGCTTTTCTGGTACGCGAGCAGCGCACGAGCAGAGCAGGGGCTGTCACTGAAAGCCACACGGCAAAAGATGGATGTCTCAGGAATGGAACCATCACATTCGAGGACAGAAGAGTGATTGAAGTCTTTAACTTGTTCAGTTCAGATTGCCACCTGCAGTGAGAAACGCCGCTGACAGCAGATTTTGAACAGGAATTTTGCGCTCATGTAGAAGATCCTTGGGTGGATTGCTCAGACCTCCTTTCGTTTTCATTGGGGGGCACAGTCACATCACATCATCCTGGAAGATTTTGGCGATCTTTCCAAGATTTCTAAGAGATTTTCCTAAACAATATGTAAAACTTTGCACAGGCATACATTGTGACATGTAGATTTGCTGATTTATGCTGATTTGCACTCATAGGTGCAAACACACACACACACACACATACGCAGGTGCACATATATATGTAAGTAAATATATATATATAACACGCATATAATTACACACACATACACACACACACATCTAGTACTGTATATATACCACACACACACACATCTAGTACTATACATATATATATATATACATTATATACCAAATACACTCACATGGCTTAACATGGCCTAATGGATCTTGATGGTTGGAACTTGGTGTTCTGGAATCCAGCAGATCCACGGTTCGAAAGGTACAGGCCTTCCTGTCGGGCCTCGACATCGACATCACCGATGCACGGATTGTGTATACCTTGTTGGATGTGGAACCCTGGCTGTCGAAAAAATCATGTACTGAGCACGTGGTGCGCACGACATACTTCTGACATCTTCTTACATAACTTATAATTCTTATATATACTTAGGACTTATATTAATGCATACTTATTATCGACTTCGTACGTACTTATTATAATGGTTCATAATTGTTCATAATTGTTCCTCATTCTGAATACCACAGAGAGCTCCATTCCGCATGTCACGCTGTGTTGACCCGTGGGACGGGACATGACGCAACTTGAGGATGGCAATGGCGGTTTGACGGTGGAGGAGTTTGTGGATGGAGCACTCAAGTTGAAAGGTCCTGCCAAGGGCATTGCCGCTGAGCGAAATCTTACATGAAACTATCATGATAACACTACGAAACAGCAGTCGAAGCATATGAAAGTGTCCTTTGTGCTCTGGCTAACTTGAGGTCTAAGGAGTCTAACAGTCTAAGGACTCGTTTTTAAACTTTTTTTGACTCGTATTGTGAGGTTTGTTAATGTTTGTTACATCTGCCAAGGACATGCTCGCCATGATGTTTGACCTCGTTCGCTACAGCATAAAGTTAACTGAGCCAAGTTGAAGTGAAGTGCAAAACTGTAGAAACAGTGCCGTGTCTTGGAAAAAGGTGACTCTGCACAGCCTTTGATCTGCTTTTGAGGTTTTCAGACTTCTGCCACTTCTTAGAAGTGCAGACGGAACAGATCAAGGATGGACGGAACAGCGGAACGACAGGGCGTGTGATCACAAACGATGAAACGATTAGTCGATAAGTCTCAAACACAATGCAGTTGCAAATGTTGCAAATGCAGACAATGCAGGTTCAAGTGGGTTCAAGTAGGTTCAAGTAGGTTCTATGGTGGGTTCATGGATGGAATCATGGATGCATCCAGGAGTTGGTCCGGCCGGATCTGCCTGGGTCCTCGGGCGGGGCACGGTACAAGATGCTCGGCAGTGGCCATGTCATGCCATGTCCATGTTTGCTGCTGATATCTGCTGATTGTGACATATTGTGACAACATGTGTCAGCAGATGTCAGCAGATGTCACATGTCAACCAACTTGTGACAATTGTGGTGGTGCTGGCTCACAATCAACGATGATCAACGCTTTGACAAGCACGCGTTGACGATGAACAGTGGTAAGACAAAATCCTGACATCCGTTTATTGATGTTTATTGATGGATTCTGTCTTTGCTCCCAGTTCATGATGATGATGATGATGATGATGATGATGATGATGATGATGATGATGATATGACGAGTGTAATTTGTTGATGTTCTTGGTCTTGATGTGGATGGTCTTGCCCTTATCAAATGTTCTTGCCCTTATCTTATCGCACAGCATTTGATCCTTATTGTGGGTCATCGTTTTTATCAAGGACAGCAGCCCAAGAACTAGACCAACTTGCGTCACTTGCCAAACACTGCATGTGCTGTGCCATGTGTTGGCCCGGCTGAGAACCAGAATCAGAGCAGACATGCAAAATGCGATAAAATGCATAATTTCTTCAACCCTGTTTTTTCCAATGATGATTTCTTTCAATTTTTTTTTCCTTGACTTGAGGCACATCACCAACCGAAAAGTCAGGGACGTCTCGATACCGTACTTGGACCCCTTTGAGGGTCTTGCCAGAGATTTGGACAGAGAAGAGAGTTGTTGAGATGTGCAGAGCAGCAATGCGCGCGCACGTCGATGTTATAAGTAGCGGGCCAAAGGCCATCGGCCGGTGCGCCCAAAAGGGAGGCATAGGCAGGCCATACTTTTTTTTTTGGCCCTGTAAATTTGAGACGTGAAATCGTGCAGCAAACACAATCTTTGCGTCGGGATGTTTCATGACACGGTTGGCTTCACTGGCAGGTTTAATGCGGGGGGGGGGGCAGGGCGGGCAAACAAATGCAACAAGAGGGTTTTAGTTATTTTTTGGGGATCAGAATAAACAACTCAGATGCCAGGCCGCATTTGTTGAGCTCAGAAGTCAGAAACCCAGAGGTGCCAAACATTTGAAAACGATATGAAACATCAAAAAAGAGATACAACGACATGTAGTGCTAGTGCGAGTAATGCGCACTTTGCCTACTTTCTGAGTGGGGGATGCCCAGGGTTCGCAACCGAACAGCATTCGCATTTGAACTCGAGGTGCCGTTGTTTTATGTTGTTTTGCTTGGTGGGGGTTGTTTGTTTTTTGGGAGTTTCGGGAAACCATTCAAAACAACAACTTCAGTGCAGCCAAAACCTGCAGAACCTTCAGTTTCTTTGAAGGCTTTCACAAATCAGTGCATCAACGAATGTTCAGCACTCAGAGGTGATCAAGATTTAATCACTGTCCACATTTGAAATTGAAAATGTCTGTAGTTTTTTGTTGAAATGAAAACTTCATTTGACAAAACCTGGGCAACCACTTTCAACTGTCAGCGGGTTGACAATGTTGACAGACCAGCATCTCTCTGATGTGTTTTACTGACGGGTATAAAACCCACCAAAGGATCGGTAAGTGTATGGTGTCCACTGCGGCACCTTCCATGGCGTTCTTGTCGTTCTTGTGTTGAGGTGCAGAAACGCAACCCAGATTTTCGGGTAGCTTTGCAACAGGCCGAAGAGCAAATGGCTCAACAAGGCGGTGTTGTCGATTGGCGGTTTTGGATACATTTGAAACAACAACGGTTTTACTTTGAAACCCCGCGGCATCGTTTAATTTGTTCGATTGGTTTTAGTTGTTTTATGGGGTTTTATTCTGTTTCATGTAATTTCTTGATAAATAACTATGCACAACACATCCGGATCTCTGAGGGATCAATCCGAGTACGTAGCGCTATGCATAGCCAGTGCTGCGTTTTGATGCATTTGATTTGGTTCAGAAATTCAGATCCAAATTTGATTTTGGATGCATTGTTTAGCCAATGCATTGTTGCTAAATTGCATCAAATTGCCATGATTTGCTGTTTTTGTTAAGCTCCGTGAAAGGCCAGTGTTGCACAGTGGCATCCTCAGTAAACTGGTGGATTTTTGTGTCTGAAAGACCCCAGACAGCGATATACAGCGATGGCTAAGGTTCCATGTGCGTAACAGTGAGGAGTTGCACACATCCCAGATCCCACGATCCGACTTGAAGATAACATGCCAAAATTGGTGTGAAAACTTTTGACAGTTTGACACTGTTTGACCTCTTTTCCACCTGGTGAAATGCATGGATTTTGGGTTGTTGAACACTCTGTTCGCTCTGTTGGCTGTGCTGATTTGAATTTTGAAACGCGGAGATTTTGGCTCAGAGGGCAGGACCTGTACAAATTGTCGACTTCCAATGTTCCTTGGCGAAACCTTGGACATTTGGACATTGAGATGTTTCATTTTGATATATTTTGATGTGCTGCTGATTCTTCAACAAAAAATTGATGGGAATTGAGGTCTGAAAGACAACAAGTCAGCTTCAAGAGTGCAGATGAGGTCCAGAAAGAGTCCAGCAAGCCGAGTTGATTTTAAACCGAAATTGTTTTGATGACACCAGATATCGGATATCATCAAAGACCATGAAAATCACGGAAATGTATTGAAATGTGCAGTTCTCTTAGCAGGGCAGAAACGTGATTTGAGCAGTTCAAACCTTGATCAGGGCGTGGATTGGCAAGATGATGGCAAGTTGACGTCCATGCTGAAGTTTGCGATGTCCAATTTGCAGAATACTCACGAACAGGTTCTCCAGGTTTGTGACTCAGATACTCAGAAAGTGGTGCAGAAAATGATTCAATCAATGTGAATAAAATACGAGGCTCATGAAAAGGGGGTTGGTTTTATCACGTTTTATCCCGCGATATTCCGCGCATATTATTTTTATTATGTACAATTGATTTCTGGTGTTGATGAATACTCGAATGCTGATTTTGTTTGTGTTTTATGCTTCGGTTGATGGTTCCTTTGGCTGAGGTGTGTTCAACAGCTGAATGGAGTCAAATGATCTTAGTATAGTTTTGCATTTGTGAATTCCGCATGACGGTTCAAGCAAGGGACCTCCGAAACATTGCGCATTTTGCGCCCGTTCCCTTGACAGATGCAGAGTTTTTATTCTTCCCATTTCCAGAAATCTGGATCTCAATCCAGTCGATCAAGTGGACCAAGTGGACCAAGTAGTGGACCAAGTAGTGGTCGATAAGATGCTGCTCAGTCTTTCTATGGCACCTCACGCCGACCTGGTCCACTCGATCCAACAGATCCCACGGCCGGTCCAAGGGGTCCAAAGGGTCCAAGGGGTCCACGGGGTCCAGGTCGGGAAGAGAAAGGGTCCAAAACGGGTCCCCCACCCAGCGCTGCTGTTGTGAGGCTCAACCGAAACTTGTCGACATCGGAAGATCTCTTTGCTGTGCTCTCCATTTGCAGAGAAAACTTCCAGGAGTTTGATACTGTGAATCGTGTCACTGCACTGCATCGGATAGCACGATTGAGCCCGCAGACACGGACATGTGACCAGACTGAGCAGACACTCATCACAGATCGGCTGTTAGAGGATTTGCATCAGCAACTGACCGAACTGAAGGTCCAGCAACTGGCCAACACATTGTGGTCCCTGGGGCGCTTGCAAGTGTCAACGCAGCCTATTTTGGATGGCATAGCAATGTGTGGAGTGAACAACATCCAGGAATTTGGCGCACAGGAATGCGCTAATTTCTTTTGGGCATGTGGCAAGATGCTTTGGAAGAATGAAACGCTCATCGAAGCACTTTCTCTTCATGCTTCGCAGATGGCTTTCGAACTGCTTCCTCAGCATCTTGGGAATATTGCTTGGTGCATGGCAAAGATGAAACATGTCGACATGCCACTGATAGATGCAATCACTGCCAAAGCACTGCAGAGCATCCCTGAAAGTGACCAGCAAGAGATTTCCAACTTGGTGTGAGGATTTGCAAAAATGTCCACAAAGAACTCTAGGTTGATGGACGTAGTTGCAGGTTGCTCAATTGCCAGCAAGAAGTTCAATGCCCAGGGCCTAGCCAATCTGGCCTGGTCGTGTGCGACCATGCAGTTTTCTCCTCAACCTTTGTTACAAGACATCGGAGAAGAATCTTTGAAGATTCTCCACAGCTTCACGGAGCAAAACTTGGCCAACATGGCTTGGGCCGTGGCAAAACTGCTTTGGAGAGAGGCTTCGCCCTTGTTTTCTGCGATCTCGGCCCTGGCCTTGAGCAAAATGCCAGAGTTCTTCCCACAGGCCTTGGCGAACATGGCCTGAGCAGCGGCCAATTTTTCGAAAAATCTTGATGGAGATCTTTTGAATGCAATCGCTGCCAAATCCATCCAGATTATGGCACAGTTCAACCATCAGAACATGGCCAATTTGCTGTGATCCTTTGCCTTTATCTCCTTTGTTCATGAACCTTTGCTGGAGTCCTTGTGCTCAGCAGCTTTGGTAGCTTTGCCTCACTTCCCGGTGCAAGAGCTGGTGAACAGCGTTTGGGCCATTGCTCGTTTGAGCTACCAACATCCGGGCTTTCAGAGCGCGGTGTGTCTGGCAGTGTCACAGAAAGTGGCTCAATACCGAGCACGTGACCTGGCCAACACGGCCTGGTCTTTTGCTCGGGTGAAGTGTGTCCATTTGCCACTCCTGAAGACCATCAGCTCCTGTGCCGTGGCCCAATCCCACGCGTTTCTGCCACAGGAGTTGTCGAATTTGGCGTGGGCCTTCGCAACTCTGCAGTTTTCGGATCTCACGGCGATGGATGTGATTTCAGTTGAAGCCTTGAAGAAACTCCAAGACTTCGCGGTGCAACACTTGGCCAACAGCTTTTGGAGTTTCGCCAAATTGGTGGTGATGAACCGAAAATTGGTGGATGCCATTGCAGCTGAAGCACTTCAACGCCTAGGGAACTTTGAGCCACAGGCCATGACCAACACGGTCTGATCCTTGGCCACCTTGGGCATCAAAAACGAGGAGTTGTTGCAGGCGATTGGTGCTCAAGCCAAGCTGCGGATCGAAGAATATGGACCACAAGACATTGGCAACACAGCTTGAAGCTTTGCGAAGCTGGGGGTTGTGAATCAGCAGATCATGGAAATCTTGGGACAGGCTGCGATGAAGAAACTTCGACAATTTCTGCCACAAGAAATCACCAACACTGCATGGACACTTGCCACGCTCAGCATTTCTAACACACCTCTGTTCTTGGAAATTTCCGTGGAGTCCTTAGTTGATGATGTTGATGCAGCGAAGCAGTAAGGTTTTTGAGGCTGCACCATGTCACATATCCTTTCATTTTTGGAAAGCTGGAGTCCACTATTTGATACTTGATTAGGATGGAACATAGTACACTGATGGTACACTGATGTACACTGCCTACTGCAGATGTTCTCCATGTTAAGACAGAAACATTATGAAACATCATGAAACATCTTAGTTTCAAGAAAGTTTTTGCAGGAGCAATGATTCTCACGGTTGCCCCACAGAATTCTTCTCGTAGAAACGTAGAATCTCGCGAACACATGACTTCCCTAAAATTCATCAACAAATTCCACCCCCATACAGGAATAGAGGTGTTCATTGCATTGTTGTTTAAGGACTTTTTTGTTGTTTTTTCTGTGTTTTTTGTTTTTTTCTTGGATTTCTGTTTCCCTGCTTCTTTGCTTCTCTACTTTCTGTTTTTCTGCTTCTCTGCTTCCCTGCTCAAGCCTAAACGATCCCTAAGATACATTAATTATATGACTAACCGACAAAGTTTTTGTAATAGTAATAATTAATTTAGTCTTTGTTTCGCCTTGGCCTTTCCGAGGTTGCACAACACCTTCATAACCGATAGGGGACGACCCTAATTTGTGCATGGCATTAAATTTAACATATTATCATGTTGTCCGCTACTCATATAGTTAAACCAAAAAACTAAAACAACCCTGATAAAGTAAACCCTAGACAAACCCGAAACAAATCTGACAACTTGCCCCAAATAATAAATCCTAAACCAGCCCTAAATAGAGTTCAAGCAAAACCTAAATAAACCTTAAATAGATCCTAAACAAACCCTAAATAGACCAAACCAGACCTTAGATAAACCCTACACCAATCCTAAGCCAACCCTAAACCAATTCCACAACCAACCCAAAGAAAACCTAAATCCAACCAAAAAAAACAACCACCCGAAAACCAAACCTAAACCAATCCTACTTAAATGAATCCCAGTTGCAAAATACCATGCGACATGAATAGGTCGAGCACCAAAATGTTGCAAATACCACGGAAAACGAGAGGTTCGCACTCCAAAATGTTGCAAAATACCGTTTAAATGGCAATTTCCAGCTCCAAAAATGCTGCAAATAGCAAGGGAAACGGACAGGACAGGAGAGTCAAAGAAAAAAAAACACAACGGAAAAACAAATCCAAACACTTCCGGACCCTTCAAAAATTGACGATTGTGATTTATCGGTCTGAAGTTCTGAAGACTGAAGAACAACAAATCTTTGGGAAGACAGCCTGAGGACAGGGCCCTTGTTGAGCAGCGCAACCATAGCTGCATCCAAACATATCCAAACCTATGCCGAGGTGAAAGCTCTTCCTCGCATTGGTGAGTTTGATCCGCAGGGTTTGTCCAACCTCACTTGAACCTGTGCCACCGTGAGTTTCCATGATTCTGCCTTGATGTCAGCATTGTCTTCAGAGTCCATCGTGAAGATCCAGCATTTTCTGCCGCAGAATCTGGGGAATACGGTCTGAACTTTGGCCAAGATGTCTATCCAAGACTTCCAGTTGTTACATGCCGCAGCAGCTGCAAGTCTGTCCTGCATCTTGGAACACAAACCCCAGGAGATTTCCAACAGTGCCTGAACTTTGGCCAAACTGGGTTTCAAGCACAATCCTCTCATGGAAGGCTTGGCATTTGCGGCCCTGAGAAATATGGAGGACTTAAATCCCCACGATTTATCAGGTACGGCTTGGGCCTTTGCCACTCTGAGTTATTCACAAACTGAGCTGCTGCAAGCCATATCTCAGGCGTCGATTCAGCGACTCTCGGAGTTTAATTCACAGGACTTGGCGAACACGGCGTGGTCGTTTGCCACCTGTGACTTTGAGAGTCGTCAGGACGGTGATAAAGGTGGGGCGGGATGGGGCGGCACTCAAAATTCGATCCAAATTCACCCGAAGCCACACCCAATTTTTAAACTCTAAAACGCTATATAATTATAATTAATACATAATTTACATAATTTACATATATTTACAACATATATTTACATAATGTATAAAATTTATGTTAATTTGCTTTTGGGGTACCCGGGACAAGGATGTGTTTTTTTCCCCCGGTGGTCATTCCGCAGGCGATGGTGCAATGTCCTCTGAAGTCATGGTGAAGCTGCCTGAATTCGCACCGCAGGGCCTAGCTACGACGGCCTGGGCGTATTCCAACTCAAAGACCAAAAATCGCACACTGCTGGAGGCGATTTCCAAGGAAGTCATGCAGAAACTCTACGAAATCGAACCGCAATCGTTGGGTATTTTGGCAGATGCCAAGCTTGGCTGTCAAAGACACATTGAGCAGGCACTCAGACCTTTTGCTCAAAAGTTTGCGGAACTTTTGCCCAAACCATCAACTCCAACAACTCATGAAACAGGTTGGATCTCAGTTGACGATGCCTCAATGAAAATCTTCACGGATTTTGTTCGGGAAGTGCGAGTCGATAACTTCGGTGCCTGGGGGACGCGTCACATTTTGGAGCAAATGCGTTTGGAAGAGCCGGCCTCGGAGTTCATTTCACGGGCCAAAGATGCCATTCTGAAAGAAGGTGAAACTGAAGAGCTAGGCCAGGGCCAAAGAGAAGGTGTGCTGGCTGGTGCGGCCTTGGTTCACCGCCGTGTTTTCGCCTACGTCGAATACCATTTGGAACTTCCCGGATGTACGCCGCTGAGCGGTGCCATGGCACGGGAAAATGGCCGACGCGATCGAGGCTATGATCCCAAATATCCCTTGATCCGACCCTTGGCTTCGCCCATCTCTGGATTGGTGGATCGCGGCCTGTGCAGCGAATTTCAGATCTTGGCCAAGTTGGTAGATACCGTCGAAGATACGTTGACACAACAAGGATCACAAGGATCACAAGGATCACAAGGATCACAAGGACAAGCACCGAGGACTGTGAGGGATGTGAGGGGACGCATTCAGATTTTCGTGTCCACATCACCCTGCGTCTCTTGTCTGTGGGCTTTACGGCAATGCCAGTTTCTTCTGCCACAAGTGCAACTGGGTGTGGTCAATGGTGAAGAGATTTTAGCGCCTACACTCAGAGGCTTAGATTGAGAAGTTGAAACAACCTTGACCCAGAAAAGAGCCTGCCGCTGTGCTTTTTGCAGTGGAACTCCAGCAATTGTGTTGGGTTTATTATGGTTGTTTATTGCATTAGGATTGGATGCTTGGAGGGCAACCACGGAATATTGCAGAGATCATTTGACGTATCTTGATAACTCTTCACATATCTTGGGCAACCACGGAATATTGCAGAGATCATTTGACGTATCTTGATAACTCTTCACATATCTTGTATCTTGTCATTAACTAACTGAGGTCCTTGAAAGGCAGCGTGCTTCCATGACACGTCCGGCTCTTGGGAATCTGTTTACATCTTCCGGTTTCGACTCTCAGACTAGACCTATGACCTTGCGGATGTTGATGACATCAACTGTTGTCATAGGATGCATGTTTCCATATTTTTCCGCTGTGCCAGATGATCCTTTGCCACATTTCAACATCATATCATACATATCATATAACGTATATATATATAATATCCACATATCAAATCATATCAACAACATTCATTCAGGTGCCCAAACAGAGCTCGTCCAACTTCGGGAGGAGTCATGATCCAGTATTGACATGCGCACGATGTGCGCATGCTGCCATTTCTTGATGCAAGGAGATTCCAAGGTCTCACTGCAAAGACTGTTCATATTTTTCATGCCATGAGTTTCAATATCTTTCAATCGTTTCAGGAGAAGCGCTTGCTCCAAAGTGGACATGTTTCCAAGCTGCAAGAGGAAAGCATCCAGCATCATCCATCATCATCCATCATCATCCATCATCATCCATCATCATCCATCATCATCCATCATTGGAATATCATTGGATGATCATTCCATCGGCAAATCGAATGGATTGGATCAACTGGATCAATTGGTGGTTTCTGAGGCGCATTCCACGGCCAAGCATGGAATGCACCTGGTTTTGCAATACGGTTTGCAATATTGTCACAACTGGTTGGTGGTTTGGAACATGTTTTATTTTCCATAATATATGGGATAAGATAATCCTTACCATTGGCCATTGACTTTCATATTTTTCAAGATGGTTAGAACCACCAACCAGACAAGATGTCACACAACATTTGGTTGCGGTGCACCTGGTGATGCTGAATGATGCTGAGCAATCTGCCAGGCAAGTGATGCCACCGACGTTGCTAGGCCACGCATGTTCAAACATCCGTTTGTTCATGTTTGTTGGCACGTTTCGACATGGATGCCCATCACCTATCATCACCCAAATCAAAAAGATGTACGGAATTGACATACAGTAGGATGATGTATTATGTGTATATATATATATATTATATTTATATTATAATTCAGCATCTTATCATAATTCTTGGATCAACCGATGGCTGAGATTGCTGAGAGAATTCAGCTGCGAGGTGCCGTGGAAGATGAGGTGATCCAAGGAGGTCTTTCACCTTCGCAGGCCCCAAAGGGCCCCGCGAATCTGATGATCTCTGGATTCTGGATCTTAACAGCCAGATGTTGATGGATGTTGATGGATGTTGATGGACGTTGATGGATGTTGGTATAGTGATGTTATATGATGTTATAATATATAAATATATATAAATATTAATTATAGTCTAGTTGAGCCAATCCTGTAGTTGAATTTGTGAAGCTCGTTGGCTGGTCAGTGGAACAGGCCACTGGCAATCGAAGGGCAACTTTCGCAAACAACTACGATTCGGAGGTTGGGGGCGGTTTTGACTGGAAACTTCCTACCAGTGCTGGTTTACGAGACGAAACGGCATGACGAAGGGATGTCTGATGTCATGCAAAAAACATTGTGCACATGATTCATGGAGATAATATCAGAATATATTTCAGATATATTCTGGAGATATTATGGAGATATTCTCCAATGATCATCCTATGATATCAGATATCTCACGATATTGACGCGGAGAGTGGCAGGGCATGTCGGAGAAAAAACTCCTGTCGTGTCATTCGATGCCTCCAGAGACGTCCAAGCCCAGTTTCTTTGCAGAAAACAGATGCCGTTTCGTTTTTGTGGACGGAACGCAGCATGGCATTTTGATTTAGGATATTTTAGGATGTACTTAATTATGTACTTGTTAAGTCGTTCAAAAAACGCAACAGTGTTATATCTTGTGTTATCGTGTATTTGGTTGCGGTTCATGAGCCACCGCGTCGGAGGTAGACTGAAGGACAGCTGTTTATTTACAGATAGAACGCTTAGACACACAAATGACTGTCAGCCTAAATTTCAACCTTATATTATTGATGATTATTCAGTGTTATTTAGTAAATTTCATGTGGATTTTGGATGATTTTGGATGATTTTGGATTCTGCTTTTCTCTGGAAACTTGGGCAAGTTTTGCGAATCGTGTCTGAGGCATTCCTAGCATGTCGCGTCAATCTGGTCCCCCTCCAAGTCCACGTGGAGCTGCGCCTGGAGCTGCTCGGGTCAATGTTTCAGCTCGGTGATTAGTTTGAAGTTCGATCAGTGATCAAATTTGTCATTTGTGATCATAAATGAATGATAAACTAATGATAAAGTAATGATAAAGCATTGAGAATGATGGTGATGGTGATGATTGTTGAAATCAAGTGTACAACTTCCCTGTCTGTACTCTCAGCAGCTGTAGCCCACGCGCTGTACTTTTCACTGTAGCGCTCGAGTAACGCTAGCTCAAGGGCCCTGTATGGAGCCCAAATGTATCGTACCATGACATGTACTCAGAGTAGACTAACATGTTGTATGAGCAACTGTATAGCTCATGTACATGTGCAGGTGTATTCTTAACACCCTGCCTCAACTGCAACATGTACCTCTGAAACTGTGGAAAAATAACAACATTGTAGAGCTGAACTGTATTAAATCTTGTAAGACATCAACGCCTGTACAAAACTTCAGTGTCGACTACCTGTACATCGATCAAAACGTGGTGCCGTGTTGGTGTACAGTCATCTTGCGTCCAGAATTGTACAAGCTGATGTATCCATGCAGAAGCTACTCACATGTAGTCAGAAACCGTTGTAAAAGAACTGTAGCAGTATCCAACCATGTACTTCACAAATTCAGATTTATAGAACATCTCATGTAGATTCAGCTCAGCCTGTAGTCTCCACAGCATCTGTAGGCTCTTCTGGAGTGTCTTCGATGCCTGTAGACGATTCATCAATGGGCTGTACCTGAGGTGGCAATTGGGCGCCAGGAGTGCCCATCGGCACTGTACCCGATTCTGTCTGTGGGATATTCACGTTGTGTTTTGAGATGTAGCTCACCACCTTGTAGAGCTGATCTGTGGGAAAGGGCTGTAGCACTTGGGCCCCATGCCAGCTCAGTGCCATTGTCAGTCCTGCATGGACTGGATCTGTCTCGTCCAGTGTATCGAGGATTGTAGACACATGCAACGGGATGTGCTCAAGAAAGAGGTACCCGTTGTCAAGGCTGTAGCGGCTGAACTTTGGTGCTTTTTGAAGTTGCGCAACTTACAACTTGGTTTATAAGTTGCCCAAGTGGGGTTATATCTACCCCAAATGAGTTTATAATGTGGCTAAGTTTGAGCCTTCTCAGTTACAAGTCACAGCTCAATTGTAAATAGTTAGTTCAGACTTAGGCCAGTTAGTAACTGGCCCAAAGACCACGTGGCTAAGTGTTTATAAGTGGAGTTAGCTAAGTCCCCTAAGTGGTCGTGCTTTCTCGTGGGTTGTGCAAAAGTATCTTTGGATGTGATGTGTTCTGTTTTTGAAGCAGGTGCGTAGCCAAGCCTGTAAGAGTTCACATTGTGAATTGCGCAGGCGTGTCTGCAGGAATTCACATGTGCTTTTCTTGCATGCTTTCTCTTTGCAGATTCACCAAAAACACAGCCGCAAAAAAGAACAGCAAGGGGCTTTAGATTGTTTGAAGGACATGCAGCACACACAGATTGAAACATTTGAAGATCGACATCAAAACCAACGCCGTTGTTTTCATGCTGCTTTTTTGCCAAAGGCATGGCGTCAAAAAAAATATCTTCAGGATGTTTGGTTTCGCACTTTTTCATTTTCACACAAATCCACCCATTTTTCCATCACGTAAAGTTCGCAAAAGCAAAACAAATCATGACAATTCAATCCAAAACTCTTCACCACGGATAGCTCCAATCAATTCTTTATAGTTCCGATTTTTTCAAAAAATGCCAGCCTTTGGCGGTTGAATTTTGGAAAAATGCACTTCGGTGGCCGTATCGGGGACGTATCGGGGACGTATCGGGGCCGTATCGGGGCCGTATCGAGGCCGTATCGGGGCCGTATCGGGGCCGTATCGGGGCCGTATCGGGGCCGTATCGGGGCCATATCGGGGCCATATCGGGGCCGTATCGGGACCGTATCGGGGCCGTATCGGGGCCAAAACCTTTAGAAACATGCGTTGCAGGAAAAAAACATGTATCGCAGGAAAAAAACGCATTGGATCTTGACCAGTTTTTCCGTAGTTGCACCGTTTTGAATATAGTTCCGCAGTTTTTCTTTCGAACAATAATTTCGCATGAGGTTGCGTGATTCATGGTGCTACTGCTGCATGGTTGTTTGACGGTTGTACGCATCTTTTCATTCTTGCCTATTCCTATCAAATCCTGCCGGCGCCAAAACCTGACATGTTCTGAGTTGGCGGATTTGTTTTGTGTCTTCTTTCTTGACTTAGTTGTGCATGTTAATTTTGCGGGTAAACGCTTGTGTTTCAGCAGCTGAATTCCCCGGATTTGTGCAATACCTGTTTTGGTTTTTGTGGTACAAGTCCTTCGCGCAGGTCAACACTTGTACTTGAGCACCTGAATTTCCTGCCTACCTAAAACCGTGGTTTGTACAACGCCTCGTGGATTTTTTTGGGGTCCCTCGTGTGCATTTTCCTGGCCACGAGGATTTGCTGAGTTAAGTGGTTATAAGTCCTGCTAAGTGGTTAGCTGCGAGGATTCCGCTAAGTGACTGTAAATGGTTGTAACCTTTGTTATAAACCTTGTAAACGCAAAAAGCGCCAAAGAATGTCAGCCATGTTGATCTGTACCCGGAAGATCCTTTGTGAATTGATTTCCCTTTGAGAAAAGCTGTACACCATGTTCTCCAGAAATTGGACTCTCATGCCAACGAATCCCCTATTGAAAACGTTGACCATCTTGTTGTACATCAAGGCGGTCAGTCGAGCCAATTCCGGGGTGTACACCTTCACATAGAATTCATCTGTGTACTGGGTCTTGATGTACCCGTGATACACCAAGAAAATCAGCCAGGTGATCGCGTCATGCATTGAAAAATGTCCCATTGTCATCCCGTACGTGCCCTGTGGACGAATCTGGGCATGCTTGTACCCTTCGCCGCGGCCACTCATGTAATGGCCTTTGGTCAATGGAATGTACAACGTATCCACTGACTCAGCGATGGGTTCTGTACTGCGAAGGTCTGTAAATTCGTCCCTAGCTGTAACCTCGTGCATCTCTCCGAGGTCGTAGAGGCACCCTAAATCCGCTCCGGTGTAGAGGGATTTGTAGGGCTGTACGCCCATGACGCCGGTCATGCGTGCCATGGCTGTATCCGAGGCTGTAGCTAAAACCAGGGCTTGCACCTAAAAAGTCGGACGGCGCGGCCAGCAAAGTGTATCGCCAAAACATGTACTGCAAAACGACAGTGAAAAAGAAAACGATCATGTAACCCTTGGGGTGAATGATGTAGTGAAAGATGAGGTGATCATGTACGTGCCAAACTGTATCACAATGACCATGTACCCCTCAAGGTAAACATACGTGTACATGATATACTCAATCAAGTAGGCTGCAGATACGTGTACACTTGTTGTGTTCGTATGCTGGTGTGTGAAACTGCTGTAGCTGGATTCTCCTCAATTCTCTGGCGGACGTATGCCCGCTTGATGTAAGTGCCACTGGAGCACTTCTCTCGTCACATATTTTGTAAGTATGTCTGCAGGATTGTGTTTGGTGTTGATCTTGTGTATGGAAAGTAGGCCGTCGTGGATGAGATGCTGAATGAACATGTATTTGAGTTCGATGTGTTTGGCTCGCTTGGACACGCCAATGCGTGTAGCCATGCTCTTGCCTGATGTGCTGTCAGTGTGTATTTTGAGGATGATTTTGTTATGTAGGATCTCTCCCAGGAAGTTCTTGAGGTGTAGTGCCTCTGTAGCACCTGTACCAATCGCGTAGAATTCGCTTTCCGCGGAGGAAAGTGCAACCACGGATTGTGTACGTGAACCAAAATGAACTGTAGTCCCAAGGAACTCGATCACGAAGCCAGATGTACTTCTGCGTGTAACCTGACATCCTGCCCAGTCTGCATCTGTGTAGACTGTCAAGTCGAGTGGATCCTTGTTGCTGGGATGTATGAACACTGTTGGTTGTATCACGAACTTGTGATGCTGTGTACCTGCGAGGTACCTGAGGCAGTGTCGTAGCCGCAGTCTGTCGCGGACTGTAGGTTGCTGTAGAGAACGTGCGAGCTCCTTTACTGCGAAGCTCAGATCAGGTCGTGTGTATGAAAGCCACTGTAGCTTTCCGACCATGCGCCTGTAGTGCGCGTGCTCTTCTGTGTCAAGAAGCTCCTCATGTTCTGTTGTAGGAGTTGTGCTGTTTGTACCTGTTGTGACGGCTGGTGTTGACTTTTGCAAGTTTGCTTCTTGTAGGATGTTGTCAATGTAGCTGTTTCCCAAAGAGACTTCAAAGTAATCTCCTTTGTTTGTAATCTTCCTGCCAAGGAAGTCAATTGTTTTGCCTGTTGTGCAGGTGCCTGTATGGCGAAGCAACATCTTGGCCTGTATCTCCTTGAAAATTCGAGCGACCTCATCAGGTTCTCCTGTAAAGAGAAGATCGTCAACATAGACCATGATGTAAACTTTGCCATTGGTGTAGACATTGGGCTCTGACTGTAGTCTTTTGAGGCCGAGGTCTGTAAGTACCTTTGCCAGGTGTTCTTGCCAGGCTTTGGGGCTGCTTCTAAGCCCGTACATTGCTTTGTGTAGCCTCCAGAGGATGTTTGGGTTTGTGTAGTACTCCTTTGGTGGTCGAAGTACTAAGCCTGCTGTTGCTGCAAGCGCGTGTAGAAAAGCGGTAGATATGTCACCTACCTGTACAATCCATCCTCGGGCCATGCTGAGTGCTAGGAGTATCCTGAGCACTGCAAAAAGCGGTGTACTTGCATACACATCGTCTTGGTCCTCGATGTGTTCTGTGTAGCCCTTTGCTACAATCCTTGCTCGTACTTCATCTCCTTTGGATCTGTAGACCCATCTTGACTCGATGATGTTGTCGAGATCAAGTTCTTGTCTTTGTTGTGGTGTAAGCTTTGTTACATCTATCTCCTCGTAGACTCCTTGTGTTTTCATGGAGTCCATTTCTTTCTGCATTCCTTGTTTCAGCTTCTCTGTATCGAAACCTTCATTGTTGTATATGTGAGGCTCTAGTAGCCTT